TTTGACGTTGTGCGATTTCAGAGCCGAACTTCGTCTACATGGACTTTGTCAGCGAGAGTTTGGACAGTCCCGACGGGGACGATGACAAAGTGTACTTGTTCTTCAGCGAGAATGCCGTGGAGTACGACTTCTACAGCAAAGTGGCCGTGTCGCGGGTGGCTCGAGTCTGCAAGGTGAGACCAGTGCAGATCCAAAAGGCCGTCTCTCTGACTCCGGCCCTGGTGGATGTACACATGAGTGCTCCCTGCCTGTGTGTTTAGGGAGATATGGGCGGCCAGCGGACGCTGCAGAGGAAATGGACGACGTTCCTGAAGGCTCGTCTGGATTGTTCCTTCCCTGAACCCAGCCTGCCCCCCATTGTCCAGGATGTCTTCCTGCTGAAGCACAAAGACTGGAGGAAGAGTGTCTTCTATGCTGTCTTCTCCTCACAGTCGTACGTGTTAAATAGTAAATCCCACTGTGTTGTGGTTCAGGGTGGGGATTCATTTAAATTTTGATGGGGGAAGCTTCCCGAGCTGTTAAGTGTACCAGCTGATTGTTACATTATTACTAACAGTATGTATACATTTGGGGCACCAATACTACATAAGAATACAAAAACACCAGCACATGTTATATTGATTATACTGACAAATAATACAATAAAAATTCAATTGTATTAAATGTTTATTTAGGATCTTTTTGCATTTCTTGTATGAACATGTGCTTTTTGTTTGTTTTTGTTTTTTTGTTTCTAGGAGCTTGCCCCAAGTGTCTGGGGTGTGTGCATACAGGGTGTCTGACATTCAGGACATTTTCAATGAGGGAAAGTTCAAGACACCTGTTTCCGTGGAGATGTCCCATGTGAAGTGGGTGATGTACACTGGTGAGGTACCGGTCCCCAGACCAGGAGCGGTGAGTTCGTCGTGTTCGCGACTGTCCGATTAAAACTCCTGTCTGAAAAAAAAAAAAAAAAAAAAGCTGAAGAGAAAATCAACAAATGAATAAACCGTAGTGGTGTGTTTTCAGTGCATCGACAATGTGGCGCGTAAAATGGGGATGAATCGCTCTCTGGACCTTCCCGACAAAACCCTTCAGTTCATCCGAGACCGTCCGCTGATGGACGAGGCCGTCCAGCCGCTGACCGGCGGCCCGCTGCTGGCCCAGAGGGGGGCCCGGCTGACCCGGATCGTGGTGGACAGCGTGTTGGCTCTGGATGGAGAGACATATGACGTCATGTTCATTGGCACTGGTAAAGACGCCTGAATGAAGCGCTCCACAGAAGCTGAGACTCTCAGAAACCATTTTATTGGCTTTGCTTTTGTGCTGAATCAGAACCTCCTAAAAGCTTAGTTTTGAATATGATATATACTAATATTAAAGAAGAATGTTTCTGTAATATTTAAAATAGCAACATAAAGATGAGATTCATCCTAGTTGGAAATGCATGAAATGGCGCTTTTTAAAATTGTTTTAAACCTTTTGAATTTGCTGAATGAAGGTTTATTTTGATTTTATGAAAACTGATATTTTAAAGTTGTTTAACTGTATATTTGTGTGTGTGTGTGTGTGTAATGCTTTCTTCTTCCTCTCCATGCTAGAAAACGGCTCTATTCAGAAGGCTGTCAACTTCGTCAAAGAGATGTTCATCATCGAGGAGATTCAGGTGTTCGAAAGCCCTGAGCCAATCAGCATTCTGCGCCTCTTATCTAGCAAGGTAATCAGAGCTCCTTCACAAAAAGGGCAGCCACAAACGTTCTGGGGCTGTGCAGCCCACCCTTCCCCCCCCCGTTCCCCCTCAGGGACAAAGTGACCTGAGGGTGTCCCGTGTCTGGCCGCAGAACAGTCATGGTGGCTGTGGGTCCAGCCTGTTGTGAGCTTTCAATGCTTTGTGGTGGGATCTTTTTTTTCTTTCTTTTTTTATGGTTGGGAACACGGTCTGTGACCTTATTTTGGTCGATGGGAAGCGCCCATGTATTGTAACATGTGCACTACATGACACCATTACAATAAACCACACTGACGTTGTCTTTAACCTGGTTTTGATTAAATGTTAACACTTCTCTCCTGTCTCTATGTATTCTCAGCTTCGGTAAAGAGGTTTCAGAACTACTTGTGGTTTGTTAATTTGCCTATGCGTGTAATTCCAGGGCCTGCTGTATGCCGGTTCAGAGCTGGGCGCCGTCCAGCTGCCCGTCAGTGATTGCAGCCGCTATAAGGAGTGCGTGGACTGCGTCCTATCCAGAGACCCTTACTGTGCTTGGGAGCCCTCCTCTGGGCTCTGCTCCTCTGTTTCCAGTTTGTCTCGCCCTTCAGATTCTGCAGTACAGAGCCTGAAGGAGGGGGACGTGTCACGCTGCCCTCTGCCAGGTGCATTCATTTGCACAGTGTCGCTAAACGCTGTGCGCAGGAAATGCATTTTGAATGAGTCCCGGCGCGCACAAAGCTGGATTAACCTTGCGTTTGTGCGTTTGCATTTTCAGATCCCGTGGCAGCTGTCGACTTTGTTCTGGTTCCCGGGAACAACATGCGGCTGCCGTGCCGGCCCCACTCCAACCTGGCGCGGATCCACTGGCGATTCTCCGACCGGCCGCTTCCCCCCGACGACAAGTACTACGTCTACAGCGGAGGCCTGCTGGTGCTGAACCTGACCGAGTCGGACGCCGGATCGTACAGCTGCGACTCAGTGGAGCAGATTAAAGACAGAACGTACAACCGAACCGTGGAGGTTTACCGTTTGCACCTCCCGCCGGAGGAGGTGGGACCCACCCCCGGGCCCACCGTGACCCAGCACCCGGGCTCCGTTCACACTCTGAGTACGGCCGCACCGTGGTCAGACCAGGGCAGCGAGGAGCCCCTGTCACCTGAGAATCAAAGCCACTCGGGCAGGGCGGGCCGCCTGGAGGTGGCCGTGGGCCTGCTCTCGCTGCTCTGCCTCCTCCTGATGGGGGTCATTTTCTGGGTCTGGTTCCAAGGGCACTGGAAGTGTTTAAAGTTGGTGCGGGGCTCCAGGGACGGCGAGGAGAGGAGGCAGTCAGCAGACTACATGCACATCCAGAGCAGAACTTCAGAGATAAAGCTCCTGGGGCCTGAGTCGGGGAGACCTTGCAGTGCCAATAATAATCACTCTGCTGCTGACTTCAAAGGGAACGGGGAGCACCACTTCACACCTATGGCCAACATTTCAAGTCTGGACGGTCTAGGATACATACATGATGAGTCAGAGATTTGATGGTGCTGAGGCCTGCACCAAAGGACTAATTACCCCCCTATAGATGTACTTTCTCTGGGAGATGGCTCTTAAAAATGGCTTCCACATTACACATTCTTTTTGATTGGTGAACTATTTCTCCTGGCCAATTTTCTACATTGTCACAATTTCCATCCCCCTAACCAGGCAGCTCATGTTCTCTGAGAGGAGATTTAATTTGGGAGATTCCTGTTCCATATTATGGTTCAAAACATGTTTTCTATGTTTTTGTACTTTGACAAATTGTGAATACAGTATGTAACATAATGTGTACAGCCAGCAGCATTATTTTGTTGTCTTTATTATTTATTTGACAGTCTTTGAAATAATTAATCATACATCTGTAAAGCAGCCTTGTAAAAGAGTCTTGTAAAATACCACTGGCAGCAACAAAAAATGTAGCAGCTGACACGTCATTGTATGGATTGTCCAGTTTAATAAAGATACCATTCATTAGTCAGCCAGAGTCAGAGTATTGGGCCAGGGTTTGAACGTGGTTATGATGCACCAATAACCTGTGCTTTTCTTTTATTCACTGTTAGCTGCTCAAAAATGGCTTAAACTCTGCTGTGGACATGCAAAGCCAGTGTTGAATGTCATTCCTCCAAAGAAATCTGCTGTATTCCAGGGAATTGTTGCAAATTTGTGGTTAACTCTGGCTACCAGTGCTCTGTTTCATGGTGGGGTGTACAGTTACATTTCAGATTCCATGCATATTGTCGTCTTGCCATGAAAAAGGCAAAAATGTCTCTGGAATGCAGCGACGTGGGGCTTCAATTCCAGGCGACCAATCAGCTGAGAGACTCTGCTCATGTATGGATTTTAGTGTCAGCTTTAAAAAAAAACAAAAAAACACTGCCTTTTGATAAAAACTTATTTCTAAACTACCGTGCCTACGTTTCAGTTATATTTGTCTTGAAGGAATCCAACAGATGAGGGTTTGTAAGGAGGGACGACAGCCCGGAATGATTTTACACTAAAAAGCTTGTTTATGTAGGTGTAGAAGAGAAAATTGGGATAGGAATTTCATCAGTTTTTCTCCACCCCTGCTGCTATCAGGGAGCTATGAACCGCCTTACGTTGTATCTCAAACAAGTACAGTAGATACCAAAGGAGTGAAGCAGCAGCGAACTCAATTATTCATCAGTGCAGCACAAAGTTATCATGTACAGAATTAAGGATAAATACCGCTCTAAGGGAAGAAAAAACCTTATCTCTGTTGTTTCTTATTTAAAGCCCCATCATCAAGCTTTGATGCTACCTAATAACCATTATGTACATTTATTCTGCCCTCTCCGCTGTTTGTGAAGCAGGCTTTTACTCCCAGGATCTAATAAGGCATCTTCTTTTTCCAGCTGTTTGGAGTTTTCTGTGATGCTCGTTGCCGTTCTTTGTCAGTTCCACTCTTTCTTCAGACATTTCGGAATAAACCAGTCGGACAGCCATGGAGTTTTCTCAAAAAGATGGTAAAAATGTCCAGTTGCAACACGTCCCTCCAGGGCTCCAAAGCAGCTGAAACTCCAGACTTTTAAGTTTTTATTTAAAGCATTTGAAAAAGCTGAAGGTCCAGCATTCCGCTCAGTGGTTAGGAGGATCGTGTCCTCCACCAGCAGTAATAATTGATAACAAAATAATCTATTGGGAGGTGTACTTTGAACCTCAGCTTCTCAGACATTACAGCTTTCAACCCGACTGCCAGATTTTATTACGAATGCTTTCAAATCAAAGCGCTGCAATGAAAAATGCGATCAAACAGGAAGACGCGCTTTGTGTGAATGTGAATATTTATTGAAAGCTTGCAATAATTAAAGGGGGTTTCCACATGTCCGTTTCACTGTCACTTATCAAAAAGCAAAAAAATAAAAATCCTACATTTGGCAGTTGGACATGAAGGGCACTTTCATCTATTCAGGCACCTTTATCTCTTAAAAGAGGCTTGACACTTAATATCTTCAAACTAGCATTAGAATACCAACAGAGCAAACAGGGACAGGTTAGCAGGTCATTTCCAACATTATGTTTGCAGTTAAACAATCCGTGCATGCAAGATTTCAATCGACCACTTTTGCCCGCCACTATCTACCATCATGTCAGTTTATTTGAAATGAGAGAGGCTTGAACAACAGGATGCATGCCATCACACTATAGTCATTAAGCGGGAGGATCCAGAAAATCAGTGGGAAAGTGAAAGCGACTGGAACGTTTACAGCAGCCGATAAGCCGCTTCCACTGCAGGTCGCTGACCACTGAAAGCAAACAGCGCAGCTCTGAAAACAATAGAGACGCATGCAGAATACAGCACAATGTCTTCTCTGGGTGTGTCTCTGTTGTGTCAAAATAATTGAAAAGAGAAAAAAGTGTTTTGGCATCTGAGTGTAAAATCCCACAGAGGGGCTGCTTCACTGAAGCATAAGTCCAGTTTTGTGCCCCCCTCCCCGACCCCCCGAAAAAGCAGCTTGTTTAAAAGGCGCAAAGTCGAGCACGACATCTTTTGCATGCAGGATCTGCACGCAGTTATAAGGCGCACTGCAAGAAACCACAGGCAAGCGTGGAAGTATCAGGCACAGCGTATCAAAAATAAACTAAAGTCCAGCAAGAGTGCAGAGAGAAAGATTCCACTCCATGTAAATGGAGCCGTATCAGGGTTACAACAATACTCAGCATGCAGTTCTGGCAACACACAAAACCATTCCATCTTTAAGGCACACGTTCTTCACACGCCGTTAGCAGGGAAAGGGCCCGTGGACCTTAAGGATATCCAAACGAAAATCTGCAGCACACCACACAGTCTAACAAATCTTTCCTTTGTGCATAAAACTGCATCGGCCATTCCTCTTTTCACCGTATGTAAACAAGTTTAAATGGAATGAGCTGAAAACAACCTTCAAGTTGGTCTTATTGATGAGCTTTAGTGACAAAGGTTGTTAATAAAACTTTTTTGTATATATATATATTAAAAAAAAGAAAGAAAAAACAGACCCAAACACACCAGTATTTGTAAATTAAGGGACATGTGCAGTAGTGCTCCAAAGGAGTTTCAAAATAATATTGAAATGGTTTGTCGCATGTCTCCCTCTAGTGGCCATTGCCTGTCATCACCACTGGCTGTTGTCGGGGTAGCTGGGCACGGCCGCGGGGTACTGGGGCAAACTGGGGCCCTGCGCCGTCTGCGCCACGGCGTTGAACCCGGCTTCCCTCACCGGGGCGCTCTTCCACATCCCGGAGCTCCACTCCTCCTGAGCGCGCTCCAGACTGCCGCCGCCGCCTCGGTACAGCCGGTGCACCTGGACCACGGACAGGGGAGCCTCTGTTAGGCGGAATGGAGGATTCGGGCAAGCGTCCGTAAAGCTTTAAGGTTTAAAAAAAACAAAAGTGCTTTCAAGCCCGAGCGCGTGTCGACGTCACGTGTCCACTCACCTTGATCAGAACCAGAGCCATTAAAGCGGTCACCACAGTGAAGAGCAGAGCTGTGATAAGCATCACTATAGCGGAGCCCACATTTTGGCTGAAAAACATCACTGTGGCAATCCAGCCGCTTTCATGTGTCGGTGAGAGTGAGATGGAAGTAGTATGGGTTAGTCCATCAGACAGTGCACACACACAGCATATAGTGGACTTCACATAAATCTAATCCAGTTACAAATGAGCCGTCGAGCAGTGAGAAATGGGATGCAGTGATCATCAGCTGACCTACTAAAAACTAATTAAAAAAGTGGAGGGCGTTAACACAAGCACATGTTCAGACCTCAAACTTACCTGTCAGATATTTTTAAGGAAACATGCTCTGTTTTGTGAGATTTAGGGCCACTGCAGACACAACCGATGCAGACAGAGCCAAATACCAACGAAAGCAAATAACAGAAGGACTCTGGGAAGAAGTAAAACCCAGAACTAAGAACTGAAAATATATTCCAATGGCAAAAAGAAGAAGTGAAAGAAAATAAAGATATTACTGGGATGTCAGTTGGTCAGTGAAGATTAATCCACAGGCAGTGGTGAATCATAAACTATTGCTGATGCTCTATATTGGGTTTTTCATAAGTTTCTGATGTATTGATGAGGATCCATGTGTGGGAGCTTTGAATGCCTTCCTAAAATCAGAGGTATTTTAACTGTATATCTGCTTATAATTTGTCTGGTAGAAGCATTCCTGTGTCTTTCTGCCTGGTTGATTTAGTTTGAAATATTAAATATTTTCATATAAACGCTATAATTTATTTTGTGAGCCACTCCAATGAAAACAAGAAAAAAAAAAAAAGATTTATTCTACCAATTTGATTCTAACTTACCAAGTTCCCCAACCAGAGATGCCTAAAGTCTGGATGAGGGCCAATACGCACTGAAGGAAAAAGATGAAGAAGAAGGTCATGAAGTTGAAGGAACTGTCGGCCCTGTGAGGAACAAAAGAGCAAGCAGAAAACACAGAGTGAGACAGAAGGAAGAAAACACATCACGTCCGTTTCAGATGCGATGCTTCTTGCGCTTTGTGCCTACTTGGGAAACGGGTTTGAAAAGCTAGTGATGTTCTCTATAGCTATGGTGTCTCTACAAATCAGAAAATTTCTGATCAACTATTTTTCTAATCATTTTCACACAAATGAAATTTTTACTCACACAAATTAATTCTACTAACATTCCCCAATTGCATTATTACAGATTCAAATTTTTCCCATTAACTCAAATTAAAATTAGAACGTGAATAACTCCAAAAAACCAACAAGTTGGAAACAAATTTGAAATTAATTAGGTGTTTTCAGTTTTTCTAAACTGGATAGTAATTTTTTGGTTTATTAGATCCCAAGATACTGTTTCTAAATGAGGTGTGAACAGATTTGGATAAATAAATCAATTATAAAACATCAACAAAGGATGTGACGTCAGTTTATCTGTGTCATGACCAAACCTAGGCTAACAGCAGATGATCAGAATAATGAAAACCCGCACAGGGTAGCTTGAAGAAGAAGCCATGCCTTTGGGTTCAAGAGGAGCCATTTATTTCTATAGATCCATGTTGAATCATTAAACATATGTTTGTTTTCCATATGTTAAGTCTCCTCATAATGTGTGTGTCTGAACCGTGCTGAGATTCTTCAGTGTGCCCTAAACATCTGGAGCTCATTAATAAGTGATGCGCTCTGTAAGATGTCCACTAACCTGAGAGCTTTGTAGAGTGGTCTGAACCAGCAGGTGTAACTACAGGGGCTGAAGAGGATGAGCCACAGCAACGAGAAGCCAAAGTTTGTGGCGCTGCCACCTCCAGCCCACCAAGCAATGCATGAGATGACATTTATAGAAAGAGTGCCTGAGTACACTGCAGATGCGAAGGGGAAGGGGAAATGGAGTGGGAGGAGAAAGGAAGTGAGAAAGGAAGACAGCCGGACAAATGTGGTCTCTACCTCTTGTTACGAAATAAAATAAATGAAAACGGTCTGAAAACATTTTTTTTTTAAAAAACACTCACTCATCCAAAGTGTGTAAACTCTGCGCACCAGCTGCTGGTGTGGCGCGGGAATTTCCTCCTCGATGTTCTGGTAAAAGCATGGCTTTATTCTTAGGATCTTTGGCAGGGGAGGAAAGTTATTTACGCGCTCTGAAAGAGGAGACAAAGTTTTATCAGCGCGTCTGCGTCCTGATAATTCACATTTATGATTTGGAGGCTTAACAGAAAACACTACAACAGAGGGAGCAATGCAGAGAAAATAAAAGGATACCTGTCATTTTGCTGTCCCAATATTTCCTGAATAACAGAAATTCCAAATGCCACTTAATTCCTGAATGGTGGGAGCAAACATAAATAATCAGATCAACTAAGTTAAAGTATTCCTAACTGTCCTTTGATAATCTTAGTGCCAATGGGACTTTGGTAACTTTAACCATTTCTTATAAGAATGAACTTAGATGCTTTCACTAACATTCAATATTTTAAAGAGTGTAGTTAACATCATGCAAATATTAATTAACTATATATTTGCGATCCTGTGGCCCTGCTGTCAACACATTTAAGCGTTTTCCCAAACCAGTAACTTATTTTATACTTCAAAAAGGAATTCGCACCACACTTTTCATACTATACTTCATTTAAAGCTGGTAAACAATACTTGAACGTTTTGAGCTAATCAGCACCGTAGAACAGTTCAGGATCCTAACGGAAACAAGGATGAGCTTACTGTCACGTCATTGCCTCGTGTTACAGTCAGTTTGAAAACTGAGGAAAGCATAACTTTTTTAAGTTGTTCGGTCAATTAAATGCATGAAAAATATCGGACATATTTACCAGAATACCGTTTATCTCCTCACGTTTCCGTCGACAACAGGAGAGGTGGGAGAATCATTCAGGATGCAGTTATACGACCCATGAAACGTACTACGGCTGCGCCAGACCGTTCAGCCTCTGTAGTTCTACGCTTCGTAAGGTCAATGTGTCAGTAGACCTGAAAAACTACAAGTCCCGTGACACATATTCGCGCTAAACGGAAAACGCGTGACTACAACATGACCCCTGTTCGTATACATTTTGCTCCCTACTAATTCTCTTGTCTGCTGAAAGTTTAGAAGTAGTCTTTTTAATTCTGAAAGAAAACAAAACGTCGTCTAAATAATTTAATAACCCTTGGTCTGAACTACCCCCTCCCCCCAAAAAAGAAAATACAGGTGATAAGTCAGTAAAAATATGCAAATTTAAAAGTGTTATGTATGTGACCAATTATTTGAAAATGTCATTGTCAATAAACAACTTTTGATAACTTGTGGATTGAGCAGTCGGTCGGTGGACAACTCATATGCTGATCTTATTCATTTTACACAACATGGCAACCTTACTTCCGAAGTCAAATTCCGTGTCCAATCACAAAGCCCAAAACATCAGCCAAGCGGGTGTCCTGTAAGAAGGAAATGACGTATTTGTTTCAATAGCGCTGGGTGTTCCTAACGGGGTGGATACATTATAAAAATCTTTGTGACTGATTTAGATTTTTCATTGGTATGATGTCGAGTTATTTCGTAGTTATATGAATAGATTGATATGCAATTGTACCTGGGATTTTTCATTTTCTACAAAATATAAATCAGAATTTATAACAAGAGGTGCCTGAAACACGCCGAGCTGGTGAACAAATGAAGCCTCTCCTCGGAGCCCGTTGACTTACTTTGACCAATCAGCGAAGGTTACTGGAGGAAGTAAGTGACTCCCGCCAATTCCGACCCGGGAGCGCGAGGCAAGCAGTGGGGTAAACCAGGGGTGCACACTGGAAATGCAGGAAATGTATTAGGTATGTTTGATGTAAAATAAAATATAATTAGATGTACTATAGATAGAAACAAAGCAGTGGTTCATTATTTGGGCAATCATTGGTGTTGAACGTGAACTGCGGAGGTGTGCTGAAGTTGTTTTGCTGGAGAATATCGCCAAAGAGTGAAGCCCCGGGTTAGTGGCTGGGATGTTGGCGGCGGAAAACCCACTTGTGGACGGGAATTTGGCAGCATCGACTCCCCGCAGAAGAGGTAAGTCCTTGTATTGAAAGCTGTTTAATAACGTTAAGTACTACTATGGTTTTAGATTAACAGAACTTCGTTTAAGCAATGCAGGGAGGCCAGAGCACTGTCAAAAGATAAATATGTACAAGTGTTGAAACACTCTGTCTTTGTCTACTTAAACAAAGCAGGTAGTCTCGTTTCAGCAAGCAAAAAACATTTGTTACTGATAATGTTGCGGGGCGGACCTCGGTACTGACTTCGTCGAAGTCTACTGCTGACTTTAAACATCTGAGTTTAACCCGATGTTGACAGCCAACTCGACACATTCCTGTTACATTGTTATCTAATGCTATTTCAGAAACCTTTAGAAAACAAACGTTTAAAAATAGTTTCACTGAAGTTAATTTTCACAAAACCACAACTTGCCCTCAAAGTGGTTTAGAGGGGCAGATTAAAGTGTCCTGCTACGGTTCAGTTCCTGTGCTAGCTTATAGCTCAGCCGTTTAAGACGTTGGTTAGTTTAACTTAATTAGCAGACTAGCTAGTCCTGTAGCGTCCACGAGCGGCTTAATGTTAGCACAGAGCGGAAAACTTGGTTCAATACGTTTCATACTTCAAAGCTACTCCGTCAGATAGTCCTTTTCACACAAATGCGGTTTCTTAACATCTTTCTTAATAAAACGTCTTTCAACGCTATTGCAATTCCCAAGCGTCTGGGAAAGTTTTCGCTCGGGCAAATGTTAGCCATTCTTTGGTTGACAGACCTGCGGTTGTCGCCCGCACTCGCCCCGGGCCTGTAGCACCGACTCAGACACCGGTTGGCGGGAGAGCAAAACAGAACAAGGCACTAAATTCTCGCCAGTACCAAAACTGTCACAACAGTAACTTTGCAAAGAAGCATGACACGCCGTTGGTGGTGTTTAACAGTTGTTATACGGCTCACATTTAACTTGTGAGCCTTAACATGTAATCATCTACAAAGACACGTTGTTCATTGAATTGTTAAAAGAGAAGTTGATGTATTTTAATCTGACTTCATGCGAAAATCCAGCAGCATTTTACTGAATGTGATACAAAGTGATTATTTGCAGTGGTTGTCATTTTAAACGGTCAGTCTTTTCTAGTTGCTATGACAATGTGAGATCATTCTCACTTTAAGAGAAACCAAAACTGCATTAATCCTAATGGAAAATGATATATATCTGATGACTTTCTCTGTAATGTCTTTGTGGGTATATTGAATTTCCTCTCTTCAGTACTAATTCCCTTTATTTCTTTTTCAGGAATGGATTGTAAGACTCGTAACAATGCCAACAAGAAACTTATTCAAGGTAAATATATATATTTTTTGGTCTATGGAAAAAAAAATATTGATCAGGTATTTTATACAGTCCATCATGTAAATCATGCTCACATTTGTCACAAGTTTGACCCAGTTATCTTATAACTGTGCAATGTTACATTAACTCAGTGACAAAGATTTTTTTTTTCTTTTTTTGCTGTTTCTAGCCCGTCTCCCGTTCAAGCGCCTGATCTCAGAACCTAAGGAAAACCAGCCCCCTAAGCGCCCCTGTACCCACGCCTGCCCTGGACCCACAGCTTCAGAAATCCAGGATGAGAATGAAACCTCTCCCCTCTCTGAGCATGGCGGGCCACCTTTAGTTAACGGTCGAGGCCCAATCGATGGCTTCTTCAGTCGCAGGCGTGCAGCAACCTCGGAGGGGAAAACGGTCATCGATCTGACTGAAGATGCGACATTGTCCCCTGTAAAGTGCCCAGCTCCACCTGCTTCTTCCTGCCTCTCATCAAAAGTCAAGCATCAGCGTAAGGATGAAACGGCCCCTTCAGGGAGAGCCAGTTCTGTTGATGACGCCCCTAAAACACACACTGCTGACACTGTTTTAATTACTGATGATGAAGATGACGAAGAGGTGGAAGAAAAGGATCAAACATCCCTCTCACAGCTGGACACAACACAGGATTCTGACAGTGACGACGACGAGAAGTCTGGAAATATTTCCAGTTTGGGGAACAAGTCCAAGCAGTCGGCCTCTTCGGTCAGCTCCATGTCTGAGAGCTCACCAGAAAGAATGGAGACCAGTGACCCGTCGCCCGTCACTACACCAGCCGTACGTACCAGCCCCAGCTCGCTGCTATTGTGTGATGCCAATCACTCACTGAGCAAAAAGAATGAGTCTGTATCCATGACAACATTGTGGTCAGACTATGGTTTGCATTCTCAATTAAATGTATGTTTAATTGTTGACTCGTATGATTGGTACAGAAAAATTATTTCCCCTTCTATTTAGAATTTGCTTTTTGAAAGGTGAACTTTTGTCTTCAATTTGACAAATACATGTTTCTCTTAAGTATGAGAAATATCTCTTTAAATGGTGTGTTTTAAAGCTGTTTGAATTCTTCCTTATAAGACCTTTTATTAGCATTACGGCAGAACTGCACATTTTGAGTATGTTTAAGGATTATTGCTAATTGTTTAAACTTTACACATTTTAATTAGGAGCCAAAGTCCAGCCCAAAGATACCAGCAGACGAGAAGAAGCTCAAAAGACGTTCATTGAAGGTGAGCTGTGTACAAGCATGATTAAAAATCCTGCAACTTCTGTTGGGCCTTTAGCAATAAAAGTTAACTGAATGATTGCAGAATTTACAAGAAGAAGAAGAGAAGGTTCGGCTGAGACAGGAAAAGGAGCGGCAAAAGGAAGAGGCCAAAGCTGCCAAGGAGAAGAAGAAAGAGGAGTCTCGTCGTCTCAGGGAAGAGAAAGAAAGGGAAAAGCGGGAGAAAAGGGAAAAGGATGAGCGAGAGAAACGAGAAAAAAAGGAGAAGGAAGAGAAGGAAAAGGCAGAGAAGTTAAAAGCAAAAGAGGAGCTGCGGAAATCGAAGCTTGAGTGAGTGGACGGTGACTTCTGTTTGTCAAAAATGAGTTCTTTCAGAAAATGGTGAAAATCAGTGCACAATTTGCTGTGTTTGATTCCTTTGTTTTATATGTGCCTCAGGGCCAAGCTTGAGGAAAAAAGGAAGAAAGAGGAGGAGAAGAGAATGAAGGAAGAGGAGAAACGGTTAAAAGAAGAAAAGGATGTAAGTCTGTGTGGGAACATTGCTTTATGATGGATACTATCTCTTAATCTGTAGTAGAAAAGGTGTTTTGACCCCTTTTGTGTCCTTTTACAGCGTCTCAAAGCAGAGAAGGCAGAAATCACACGATTTCTACAGAAACCTAAAATTCAACAGGCTCCAAAGGTTGGTCCATCCACTTTCATCAGAAAAAAATAAACGGGGTTGTGTCATTATTTGCTATGTGATCAGAAAAGCAAAAGAAAATGGATGGACTGTTTGAACCGAAGTCATACTCTCATTCCTAGTTTAATTTATAGAACTGCTTCTTGTTTTATTTCAGACTCTCGCAGCTGCATGTGGAAAGTTTGCTCCTTTCGAGATAAAGGAAAACATGTTTCTGGCACCACTGTGCCGGGTTCAGTGTGAGGAGTCTCTCCTGGAGGACCTGGACCGGTGCTTGTTGAATCCTCCGGAAAACCTGAAGGGATTACAGGATTGGATTGGGCAAAAACCAAGGCAGTCTGGACCCACCAAGCCCAGGCTGACAGATTCTCTCAGGTGAGATAAGAAATTAATTTAAAATATTGCAATCCCACCTGACACATCCTATCTTCATTGTAAAACTGAAGGAATTTTTTTGTTATATTATTAGACATTGAAAACTCTTTCTGAAGTATCTCTCTGAATTTGAAATCAACCCACTGCCTTCCTTTTGTTGGAAAGGGAGAAACACTTCCTCAGCAGCCCTCCAAGGATTTGTGAGCTTAGCTGAACACTTTTCAGACCAGAGCAACACATCATATTTTAAACAACTGAAAAATCCCCAAACTGAAAAAATAGTTATTCTTCAGGACATTGTATTGTAAATGTTCATGCTTCAGTACATCAGGAAGCTTTATTGGGATTCAGAATTCAGATTAATCTGATTCTGACAGCATGATTTTCTTTAGGAGTCAATATGGCTTTCTTGTCCTTGACAGAGGTCCTTTAAAATTATATTTAGAAGGCTGGAAAACTTGTTCTTTATGGTTCTTAATGAATTAGTTTAAATAATCTATAACTGGGATACGCAGAAACGGGGGCCTGTTCTATACCTAGCTATGCACCTTCTGGTACATTACAGGAATTCAGTTGGTTAAACAAATGATTTCTGGTCTTTCATTCCTCACATAACGGTTAAGCTTTGTCGATGCTCGTTTTCTGCAGCGACTGTGTGACAGTGGAAGCGCCCAAACCAGATGGAGTCCCAGACCGCAAACGCTATGGACCAATGAAGCTGCTGCTGTTCCACGAGAACTATCGTCCAGCCTACTGGGGCACGTGGAGGAAAAGGAGCTCACACATCTCCCCTCGCTGTCCTCTCAGACAAGACAAGGTGAGCCATTTTCTCTGGGCTGAGAGTTTTCAGCACATGCAAACGTTTTCCACAGAGACATCGTTAGTGATTTTAAGGCTTTGAGCTTCGTGCTGGTATTTCCTTTATCCAGAGAAGTTTTGTTTGTGTAGCTGTGATGCTAACAGCTTTGCTCCTTTAGGATCTGCTTGACTATGAGGTGGACAGTGATGAAGAATGGGAGGAGGAGGAGCCAGGAGAATCCCTCTCTCATAGTGAAGGGGTGAGTGCTGTTGTGCCCACGTAAAAATAAGACAACTGGTTTCTTCCTCTTTTTTTTTTAATTTTTAAAAAATTAAACCCTGAAGCACGGTGAGCTCTGAGTTTGCTGTCATACGTAATTCTGGGAACTTATTGTGGAGCCCAAATTCACCGCTCTTCTTATTTGTCACTTTTAATAAGTTGAGACTGAAAGCAGACTCCTGATTAAACTGAATTCAGACACTGGGAACAAGAGTGGGCCAGACTGGGGAGTCTTCTCTCAACATGCCCCTTGATCGAAATGTTGTAACTCCACGACATGCTCTGCAAATAATTTACCGAGTTGAACCTTTTTCCCATAATGAATGTGTTTCCAGGAGGATGAAGAAGAAGGAGGTGATGGTGATGATGACGACGACGATGATGACGGCTTCCTTGTTCCTCATGGCTACCTCTCAGATGACGAGGGCGCGTTAGAGGATGAGGTACGTCTCATCAGCTGAGCTGCTCCCCCCATAGTCAGTGGAGCTTTGCAGCCTAAGAATAACCGGCTGGAATCCTCTGCTCAGTAAAGAGAAGAAGGAAAAAAAAGCCAAGCATCCTAAATTTTCCTTCAGATGCTGATGAAGTAAACAGGCATTTACCAGAAGATACTTATTTTTAAGATTGATTTCAAATCATTTTCACGTTAAGATATTTTGCAGAGCTTTCCGTAAACCGTTTCAGCCACTGTTAACGAATATGACCTCTCAGGACGGCGGCGACCTGGAGAAGCAGAAGCTTCGTCAGAAGCTCAAAGCGAGGGAGTGGGATGAGCTGATGTCCACCAAGAAGAAGATGAAGGTGCTGGAGCCCGTGGTGAGGGGCTGCGTCTGGGAGGGAGACGGGCCTCACGCGGAAGCCTTCCAGCCGTACGCCGTGTGTCTGGTGGAGCCTTTACCCAAGGCGGACGCCAGCCCCACCCCAGAGGAGCTGACTCAGAGGAGTCAGAGGGAGGCACAGCGTGAGTCCACCACCTGTGTGCACAGGCTTTTAAACAACACTTCCGCCGCCATTCGCTGCCTCCTTACTGCGTGCTTGTTTTACTTGGTATCGTATGTTATTATATATATAACATATGTTTATATATAATTGGATATTTTCTGGTATCGTTGCAGAATTATAACATTCATAAAATAGTGAACCAGTGAAGAATGTCAGGGTATTTAGATATGAATAAAGTGTGTCTCTTGTGGCTGGATTGCACAGCTCACAGCGGCAAAACTCTGAGAGTGCATTTGTTATCTGTCTGTTACAGTGCTGGGCCGACTTCTGCCTCTGCTGCACGGCAACCCCAACAGCAGCAAAGTCATCATCAGCGAATTCCAGGAGTGTTGTCGCCGGCAGGGCGGCTCCTCCTCGCCGCCCCCGGCTCTGTCCAGCCCGCAGAGCTCTCTGGAAAACGTTCCCACCAGGTTCGGCAGAACTCCTTTCACAGGTCACACTTTGCCGTCCTGTCCCAGGCGACTTCCAGTCTCACTCTTTTTTCTTTTTTCTTCCTGCTTCTAACGCCCGATCAGAATGCAGCTGAAGCGCCTGATCCGGAGCAACGCCGTCTACGAGAAGCGCTCCAGCCACCGGCGCTGCTGCTGGTACGTCCACGCCGAGGTCCTGTCCCGCTTTGGGCAGGACGCGCTCCCCGTGCCCTGCCAGTGGACCTACCTCACCAGGGAGGAGGCCCGAGAGGAGCCCCAGGCCGCCACGGGCTCCCAGGGCAGCTCCCCCACGGCCCCCCAGACCTCCACCACGCCGTCCTCCTCCAGCAAGAGGAGGAGCGCCGGCAGCATGTCCATCACCAAGTTCATGAGGAGGTGCCCCGATCCGGAGCGGGTAAGCGCACAGATCAGCCTTTTTTCAGAAGAGTCCTGGAGAAACTGATCGCTAACTGACTAAATGTGTGTCTTTACCAGACGGACGGCTTCCAGGCCGACACAGAGGAGGATTATGAGGACGACTGCGTCATCATCTCAACCCAGACAGGTGAGCTGCAGAAGCCTCGGCTCCACAAGCATTGACTGATGTTCCACTTTTTAGATCAACTTCTTCATTTATTTAGACATCTCTCGTTTTCAAATAGGTTTTTTTTTTAACCTGGTAAACCTTTATTCTGTGTCCAGACCCCAAAAGAGAGCATGCTTCAGGTGAGGCAGACTGCCAAATGGAGGTCAGTGCTCCAGCCGCCGTCCCCGTGGCCAGCTGTGCTCCTACACCCACCTCTGTCTGAAGAAAGGGTGCCCCCCCCCTCCCACTTTCGGACTCTTGAGTCAGGACAGAATCAAGTCTACAGAGAAAGATAAAGAAGCCCTGAGCGCCCTCACACCGAACTCTGTTAGTCTGTAAGGCGATGGCAGCCCACCTGCCGCTCCAGTCTGTGCAGAAAACGGAAACGTCCGACTGTGACGACGAGCACTAACGTGTCCAGAGTCCACTGGCTTTCGAGCATTCACATTTCATGGTAACTGTGGGCGTCTTTGGAGTGGAGGGAGAACGTCTGACACCGCTGAGGACCGGGCACAAAGAGGGAAGTAATCACCAGTTTCATTAAGAGCATTCAATCAAGAATACCATTATTTGCAGTTTTTGAGGATTTTGGTTCATTAACCTTCCTTTATCGGGCTCCAACTGTAAATAGTTTGACAGAGAACAAATGTCCATCTGTACATTTTTGTGATTGCATTGGGTTGTTTTATTCATCCATTTCTAATTCTGACAACTCACTGGAGTAGTTGCAAGATCTGTACTTGTACAGGTAGATACTGTGTTGATGTCTTATAAATATGTATTTTCTGTATTTTTCAAGGATACTTGAACAAGATGAGTACATTAAACATGAATAAAAGTACGGCACCTTTTATATTCATGACATTACTTTTACATTCCTTTTATTGCTTTTCTGCCTTTAACCACCGATTTCCTTAATTTTAATGTCTAATGACTTGAGAGAGGTTCAGATCAGATTTTTAAATTTATAAAATCAACTCCTTTTCCATTTGTTTAGAGGTTTCAGTGTTAGTCTTTATCAGAAATCATGTTTAGTTTTGCAAAACAAAATTTTAAGATGCAGAATTTGAAGCACAGAGTGCCTGACTGCCCCCTCTTTTGTAAATACTAGCAAAGTTTGAGAAGATGTGTGTGCTGAAGAGACGATGCAGTGCAGGACGTCTTTATTACATGCAGGTTAAAAAGCAACAGAACACAAACACGTAAATGGCAGCTGCTTTGGGGACTTTGCAGCGACTCGATCTGTCATTACCGGGTCAGAGGTCTGCAGTAGTGCATGAAGGAGACTTCTCCTAGCTGTTGGACTTAGCTTGATCTGTATCAAAATGTTGGGGAATCGCAACCTAATTGTCTTTAATGTTTCAGCAAAGCTTGATGGGTTGGGGGGTATAACTGAACTACAAGAGGTAGGTTGTTGTCAGTAAGGAATGAGAAACAAGAATGAACTTTTAAAGATTTACCTGCCACAGATAGTCACAAGAAAGACACGCTTACTTTTTAAACTCGTCCTGAGTTCTGGGAATTTCTTCTGAATTAAAACATTTTTTTAAATAAGTTACAATGAATGGGAATATTCTTCAGCTTTGGGTTATTTGTGTCTTGTTTCTCTTTTTCTTTTAAACTGGGAGTAGTTCTCCCACAAGAAATGCTCATCCCAAAATCTTTTGACTGATCCAGCTTTTCTTAAGTTATTTACATTCCAGAGTCCAGTATACACAAATCCTTCTGTAAGATGGGGACTTCAAATAAACGGTAGTTCAGAAAATATAAGCAAAAACTTGTAAAAGCCCTAGAAAAATACATTTCTAATCATCCGATCAGCATGGAGTGAGCTTTGAGGGTTGTTTATTTTCTGTTAACGGGATGGCGGTTTTTTGACTAAAATCCAAACCACAAGTTTCACAACAAGAAGTCCATGCTGCCATCAGAAAAAGTTTTTGTTGACCCTTCATTCAACACGTTAGCGGACAAATATATGACACATAGGATTCTGGTTTAGCTTAAGCTGTTAATACTGGCCTGAATCGGCCTTCAAAGTGCCTCGAGTTGGTAAAATACAAGAAAAATATTTGTCCTTCTACTATTTCTAACTCAGTCTTAAATCTAACATCTGTTGGTATCTCAGAAATTCAATTTTCCCCTGAAAACCTTCATTTGTGATTTAACCAGTGGGGCTTCACTTGACTGACGTAACCGAGTCTGCCGGCCGGCCCTTGCGTGCCGTTTAAGCATGAGCCAAAACACTGCTGCCACAGAGTCTGTTTACTGCACAACGTTTACATTCAGACACTGACCGAGACAAAACTTCCCCTCTGCGCAGATCTGTGCTGCTGCTGAGGCGGCCCCCGCGCCAAAGGGAGGGGCATGCTCAGCAAAACAAAGCCCGTTAGGGTCAGGTTGCCCAGGGGGTTTGCACTATTCCTCAATGAAGTTAGAATTAGTTAAAAAATAACTCTCAGCACTAGTGGGGGGGAGCATTACGCCCGGGCGTTGCGAGGGAGGTAGAGAGTTCAGGGAAGAGCCTCTTCTGGCTCAGCTCAGCGTCTGAATGTGTTCCAGGAGCTCTGGTTTGAGGAGGGTGGGGCTCTTCCCGCCAGCCGCCGCGATGTCCGCCTGCACCGCTGCATCCCAGGAGAAGGTGAGCAGGGCGGCAGGGACCTTCCACAAACACAGGCAACAGAAAACCAGGGAATGTCACAAACTTACACCGTTCAAACGCCATTATCTCCTGTGTTTTCAAAAGGAAAACACAATGTGTGGAGCTCCTCTTGATAAGAGTTAAAAAAGGTTAAATAAACCAACATCTAATAAAGGCTGTCCAGTTTTGTGTCTTCTTTCCACTCACCAAGTTACACTCTGCCAGGGCGACCTCCTCAGACTCCTGCAGTTTTTGCCCCCCGGGAGCGATGAGCTCGAAGGGCTGCCAGCCGTCCACCAGCGACTCCCTCACAAACGAGAAGAGCACGGGCAGCCGGTCCCAGGCGTAGAAGGTGCCTGTGGAGGGGGTCACACATCCGCTTTAGTGGGGCTCAGCCCCCTCCACAGTGAAGAGCAACGCTGGGGGTGTGTGGGGGGGGGGGTTTTACCTTGCAGCAGGTTGCCGTCGGGCAGCCGCACCCTGAGCAGGGTGTAGTTGTACTTCCTCCTCTCCCGCTGCTCCTCCTTCTCCCTCATGGCTTTGGTGCGCAGCATGGCGTTCTTCTCCACCAGCTCACTCCTGGGAAGAAGCCGTTTAGCGGCCGGCAGAGAAAAACTCGGAGTCGAGCGAGACACGGATCAGCCCGTACCTCTGCTGCTGCTCCTTCTTCAGCTCCTCGGCCGTCAGGTTGTAGAAGTCGGGCGGCAGCTCGAAGCGCTGGGCGTGGCCGGAGGGCCGGAAGGCTTGGGGCTGGCGCTCCAGCTGAGCCCTGACCGGCTCCCCCCGCTGCAGCCGGTCCCTCCGCTCCTTCATCAGCTCCAGGGCATCGGGGCTGTGCTCTGGCAACACCAGGAACTCCTCTTCTTCTTCTGATTCCCATCAAACAGCGGACATTCGTTTAAAACGACAGAAAGACGTAAAGACCGACTGACGGATTTCTGAGTGACACACAAAAACAAAACAGGAGGAAGTTACCTTGGCCCTCCACAGGCAGCATAACACTAATGAAGCCCAGAGCTTGGAGAAACTCTCGGCTGCCTTCCACAGAACGAACTTTCTCCTAAAACAAAATGGAGAGTTTATATTAAAAGGCTCTTTTGTAAGCTCCAAAAGCATCTGCAATCAAAAAGTGAAAACCAATGAATGAACCCACCTGGTAGACTTTGTTGCTCAGTTTAATCTTCCTGTACTTCTCTTCCGAGGGGTTCTTGCATATGTTTTCTACATACCTGATTACATGCAGGGAAAGGGCAGAAGAAGAAGACACAGCTGTCAGCACAGAGACATTAACTGAGCTTTCAAATGTGTGAAAGCAACAGGAAGGAAATAAACACATCAGCCTAAGCAGGCCGATGCTTTACAGAGATGGGCAGAAGTCTAGAGCCGTCAGCTTTTTCTCACCACTCCCCCCCCCCCCCGCATGGCCTCTCAACAGGCTTCATTAAGCGGTTAATGGATCAACTCAAGACCTCTTCCTTCATCTGCTGTTACGATCTAAGTCTTACTTATTGATGATGTCCACAGCCGCCTTCACTTTCTCTCTGTCTTTGTTAAATGTGTGAATCATCATGACAGAAGCCTCAACTGCATCCTCCTCAAACCGCTGGTGGGAGAACACAAAGGGCAGGTTTTAGCTACAGCACCAGCCGGATGACCTTTGGCAAGAACCAAAGACCTACCATGAAAATGGCCTCTTTGATGTGCGCCTCCCGCTCACTCTTAGTCAGCGTGGCTCCAGTGAGCGGACAGGTGAAATAAACGCCAGACACAGAGAGGCAGGCGGGATCTTTTACTGGCACTGTGGATCCCTGGAAAGAAATCCATCGCCCACAATCGTTAGGCCTTAGAAATGTCCATCAAACGTACACTGTGACACTTGTGATGGCACCATATCAAGCAACGCCAACCTCTGGGGTCACTGCCTTCTCTTTCTCAGCCAGTGCAGCCTTCTCCGCCTCCAGCTCTTTTTTCACTAGAAGTAAATCATGCAAATACAGCCATTTTTGGTCAGGCACATCCTTATTAGAGGATCCTCAATGGAGCGTTAAGTTATTATTATTTGACTAAAATTGTTGTGGTTTTACTATTGGTTTGAAATAAAGAAATGCAAATTTTTTAAAACCCAAAGCGGATACTGAATATTCCCCACAGCTTAGACAGGTTAAGAAGAAGATAAATAAATGGAAATATGGAAAATTATCAGAAGAACTTTGTTCAAATGATTTGATTTACAAAACTCTCATCACTCTACATCCCTTTGCTATGAGGTCAAGAGACAAAACTCCACTACAAAACATAGAAACATCACTCAAAAGTGGCACTATCCTTTAACTGAAGCGTGGTGAGATGGGAGGAGGGCTTGTTCTGGTTAAAAACGCTCGGTTTGCGGCAGAACCGGGGCAGAGAGAGTCTCACCCTGGCTCCTGATGGCGTCCTGGGAGGTGTGCACCTTGGGCCGCTGGTGCTGGTCAATCCTGGCCAGGGCCGCGGCCCCGGCCCTCTGGGCTCCCTCACTGGGGGCATGGCGGTTGTGTTTGGCGCTGGAGCCGCTCTGCACCACCTCCGGCCTGGAGCTGAAACCACCCGAGGAGGAGAGATGTGGATTTAAGATGTAGCCCCCTTATGTTTCCCACGCTCTCATGCATCAAACTGGGCTAAAAAGGGGAAAAAAACGCAACTAAACAGCGTCATATGCAAACGAGTCGAAAGATAAACACACAACCGAAACACAAGCAGTCTCACACCGAGATGTCATGGCCCTTTTTGACGTTACCACATAATTAGCTAAACAAGATTATTCACGGATTAACTGTAGCCAAGTTGTCCTGAAGTTAGCTGGGCGTCTGCCACCAAACTGAGGGTTACATAATGCACCCCAGCTACCAGCCCAACAGATAAACACAAAGCTAAAATTAAAAAACAACAACAAACAGTTTTGTTCTGTTTATGGCGTGCAAACAACAACGAAATGTTGGTAAAGAAAATATCCCTCCTGCTAATTAAATCTAGCAAACAGCTAGTTTTGTGGTGAGTTCTAGTTAGCCTGGAAACAGAGGTAAAGATGTCATATTTGCCTGGTTTCTTCGGTTAGCTTCTTCCCGGGCCCCGCAGTTTTAAATTTAATGTCCTTTTTGAAGTCTTCAAAAAGCTTCTTCATCTTCTTTAGTTACCAATACAACTCATCAGAAGCACAGGCTGTATGATATCACCTAGCTACGCAGAGCTAGGAGAAGTAGGAGAACCAAAACAAAAAAAAAATGACTTCGGCCTGACAGAGATGGGTGTCGCCCCCTTGTGGATGGGCTCCGAACTGAAACAGAAATAGATCTGGTCTTAGTACATAAAAGGTCTATTCCTGTTGATATTTAATTTCACCTTGTATTTACATACAAGGTAAAATTGGTTATAACCCTGTTGGTTAATCGAGCGTAGTATTTTAAATTGAAATAAATTGATTTCTTCCCCATAATGAGAAAAAGGGCGTAGTGATTCACTGCACAATGCTCACCTCGAGTCAGGGAGTAAAACATAAGTGTGTTATGTATTATGACAACTAATTTTTACAAGTTACTCACAAACAAATATAAGATATGTTTTTCTAGATTCCCTGTCATCCAGGTGGTTGTACAAAGAGTTTGAATAAAGGAAACTCAGTCTCGGAAAGGAAGCCCAGTGGCTTGAAATGTCAAAGACGTTTCCTTTCTGTGTAAAATCCTCTGAAGTCAGTTGATTCAGACAGTGATAAGCTGCTGGAGTTTTGGGCTGCGTAGAAAGGTCAGCAAGATTTCTGACAAACAAACTCCCTGTTTTTGACTGCATGGTATTAGTTCAAATTTTACCACATACCTTTTGATCGTGGAATATTAGTCTGTTTACTTTTTTTTTAAAGATTCCAACTGATAAAAAAGAAGATAAGATGGGATGAGGTAAGTTTTCAAGAAAGTCAGAATGGTAATACAGATAAGAGAAGAGAGATAAGGAAAGGGTTGTTGTTATTTGAAAGGTGAGACACCTATTCATGTCTTATCTTTGTTTGTTTTTTCTTTATCATCTATTTAGTCTTCCTTACAGAACTGTAACTCCAAAACATGCCTTTTTAGTTGTGATATTCTGTATATATTTCGTCTTGAAAGCAGGCGACACAATCTTTTTTTTAACGTGTTTTTACGTGAGGTACGTGAACGCAGCACACGTCGTCCCTCCGCTGCTGCCACGTCCAACGTGACGCAGCGGAGGGCGTGGCCAGATGGGAGGAGCAGGTACTATCCACTGTGAGTAGCCACACAGCGACTGGCATTAATGGTGATATCCTCAAGAAGAAGTCCTTCTAGAGGTGAGAATTCAATACTTTATCCATATTTTTATCCAGTGTTTACTCCGTCGGCAGTTTCCCTCCATTTTCCGGCCGTTAGCAGTTAAAATGTGCTCGGCGCTCGTGCCCCTTCTTGACACTCGCGTGCCGCTTTGGGTGAATGCTCACCGATTGACAAATTATCTTCGATTACTGGCGCACTCGTTGTGAATGGCAGAGTTGTAGAGAGCCAGAGTTGCTGGTCGGTTTCTCTCCATTTCTGGGGGAAGTGAAGCATCCTTGCTGTGTTTAGGTAAACCCTCCAATTCACACCCAGTTAGAGCACTTGACACGTCGTCCAAGTCTGAAGAGACGTTAATTGGAAAAGTTTTGAAGTGAATGAATCAACTCATTTTCATATTAAATGATAACCGAGAAAGCCAGCCATCGTTTTAATATTGTGACAGTGCTCCAAGGAGCCTGTTCAAATGCTAAGAGGACAGAAGAGGGGCGATTTCCTGGTCCAGTCAGCTGTTTATTGTCGGTGTGTGTGTATTTTACCTTTAGTCCCAGTCTACATTAAGATACTGGGGGTTGTCCTGTCACCAGTTATGCGAGTTTAACTGGGGGAGCCAGATTTCTAGCAATACCAATGTCATTAGTCTTTCACAAAAAGAATTGTACTTGCTTTAAACTTTCTGACAATCCGTCAGCTGAGCTGTGTCCTCCATGTCTGCCAGAGTTACTTAATTTCTCCAACTTTTTACCCTTGGAATAAGAATATAGATACCCCGAAACATTCCTAAAAACCCAGCCTTAGTTTTATGCGCAGTTAGGGGTATCCATTTTTCTGCTGACCACTAACCAAAACATTTTTTTTGGCTTGGTTGTTTTCAGCTTAGCAGAGTCGATCATGGACCCAAACACCAACGGCCTCATGCAGAAGCTGGCTGACGCTGGCCAGTCGCACCTCCTGCAGTTCTGGGCCGAGCTGAGCCCCGAGGAGCAGGCGGACTTGACCCGTGACCTGCAGGGCATGGACTTCAAGGAAATCAACGGATTCTTCAAGAACGCCATGGAGACGTCCAGCAGCAGCAAGCAGGAGAAGATGGACGCTCGCATGGAGCCGGTGCCCAGAGAGGTGCTGGGAAGTGTGACCAGAGACAGGGAGTGTCTCAAAGAGTGGGAGGCAGTAGGTGAGCCAAATCAGATGTCCCAGAAGATGTAGAAACTGTCCATGACCTAACTTTGAACCTTTTATTTGTCCAGAGTACAGTAAGGTATAAGGATGTGGGAAAAGGCATTTTATGACTCTGTATGGTTTTATTGCATTCACTACACAGTAGTCAGAGCAAATAGGCAGTATGGACTTGGAATCACCTGCTGGGGCGGATTAAAGTTAGTCATTACTCAGTTTTCAAGTGATAGCCTGCAGGTGCACCAGGAACAGAATTACCGGTATCAGACTGGGAGGCTTAAATGGATTAAAAAGTCACAAGGGGCCCAGTTGTTAAAGTGCCAAGATGGTTCAGTGGTTAGTCTAATATTTTCTTTTTGTTACTTCAACCACTGCAGTTTAAACTTAAAGTCTTACAGCAGATTTTTGCTGACCGGCATCAGAATCTTCTCAGTTCCCCTCTGTGTGGTTGTACAAACGCCCAGTCTCATTCCTCTGTGGACATTAGACATATGAGCTGTTATTTGCTCAAATTCCCCCCACCCTGTCCTGCGGTCGACCTCTGATGATTCAGCCATTCTGCTCGATTGTTTTTTGCCGGGGATCGTGACGGAGGTGGCGATCAGCAGAAGACATCTGGAGCTGATTTGGGGCTGACGTAGTTCGATTGGCCTCTTGCCCCTCATTCATGAAATCACCGGTCTGTGAGCAGGGCGCGGCCCGTCTGTCCGCTCCGCCCAGGCACACCTATATAAAAGTTGTGTATCGATGTGCTACCCACAGTTGGGCAGATTCTGAAACTATGTACTGTCAGTAGTTTATGTTAGATGACCTGCAGCCAGTATAAACCACAGGCACATAAAACTTTATTGAAACCAGCCCAGAGTTGGGCAGAGTTGATAAATGTCAGAAAAGTCCACATGTCCATTAACAACACTCATAAAATGTTTGTTCTGAAAGTATTTTATTATCAAATGTTATCTGCATTTGGCTGAGTTGATTATCATTGATTCAAGATGCCCTTGCAAGGGCAATTAGGGAATAGCAAAGGCATCCAAAGAGATTAGATACTGTAAAAGTAGATGGCTCATAAACAACATCTCTCAGGACCCATCATACACTGCACGACACATTCAGTCTGAATGCTGTTTAGAAATTATTCAAACACTTGTGCTCTGTTGCCCCTTCACAGGCCTCCAATGCATCTCCCAGAGCAAAGTGGCAGTCCTACTGCTGGCAGGGGGCCAGGGAACCCGGCTCGGGGTCTCTTACCCCAAAGGCATGTACGACGTCGGCCTGCCGTCCCACAAAACTCTCTTTCAGATCCAAGCAGAGCGCATTTTGAAGCTGCAGCAGCTGGCCGAGCAGAAACACAACGTGAAGTGCTCCATTCCCTGGTGAGACCCCCGCTTTTATCGGCTCCATTCAAAAGAACAGAAGAACAGTCCAAAGCTCCCTTTAATGAGAGCTGAAACACTTTGTCCCTGTTGCGTTTACACCACGTTTAGCTGGGTCGGGTCACTGTTGGCATCAAAAGAAACTCATCAAGAAATCTGTTTAACCAGCAAAGAATCTGCTGCAGAGCAAATCCAAGGACAGTTTACCGTCTGAAAAAGGGAAAGTTTGGCATAACAACAGGGCTGTGGAGGTTATTTGAGTTAGTTCTGTTTGAGGTCTGCAGCCTTTTATTAGTCTGACTTGGATTTTTTTTTTCTAAATTATGTTGAGAATGTTTTCTCCAGGATTTCACAACTTTTACAAGGTTCTTTGTTTTCTTGCTTCAGATGGGGTTTCACACTGGTAAATGTTGTATTTCTGTGTTGCCTTCAGGTACATCATGACAAGCGGCAGGACGATGGAATCCACAAAGGATTTCTTCTCGCGTAATAACTACTTTGGTTTGGAGAAAACCAACGTCGTCTTCTTCCAGCAGGGCATGCTACCAGCGATGGATTACAACGGCAAGATCATTTTGGAGAGCAAAGGGAAGCTCTCCATGGCCCCCGGTAAGCCCGTGCAGCACGAGACGACTCCGGACGCCATGGACTCTGTTAAGCGGCTTTGTGTTTGTCCTTCAGATGGGAACGGCGGCCTTTACAGAGCCCTCGGGAACCAGGGAGTCATCGATGACATGCAGCGGAGGGGCACCGAGTTCATCCATGTCTACTGTGTAGACAACATCCTCGTCAAAGTGGCTGACCCCGCCTTTGTTGGTCTCTGTGTGAAGAAGGGAGCGGAATGTGGAGCTAAGGTTGGTCACGCCTCGGCTCCTCCTCGTCAGGATTCAGGAAAATTGCCACATTTCTTTTGAGAATAATTGAAAAAAAAAAAAAAAAGAACTTTAAAACACTCTTAAAGGGGGCGGTTGACACTTTATATGGTTTTCTGCCTTCCTAAGGGTGTGATATTGCTCTTTTTGTGTGTAAAGGTCTGTAAAATGACAAAGTCCACAGAAACCCAGTGCTCCTGAACCCTCTCAAATGCCTCGTTATATTGTTATATTGTTTGTTAAAAGGTTAATTTCGTCTTAAAACGCTTTTACATAATTCCAACAAAGACGGTTTTTTTTTTACATTCCTCCTAAGAAGAATAAGCTTTCATAGATTGAACAGTAAATTAGCATTGTTGAAACAGATGTTTCACCTAAAGCAGAGCGTGCACCGGCCGAAGCAGCCGCAGCAGACTGCTGTTCATCCTGTCATAAGACCGGTCATAAGACCAGGGTTTCCTTTCAGCAAAACAGGAAGTGGCAGCCACAAGGTAAAGAGACATGCCTTGGAGATAGTAACTTGAGGACCGGCGCGACCGCTTTGTGTAACAGAAAGGTGTGCGTGGGCATGACGACAAGAGAGCAAAGTGCATCAGCTGCCGGGTCATTGCAGCCCAGTGTCATCAAGTTTGATCAGTCAGGGTCTGCGTGGTTTCCATGGCTCCCGGGGTGTGGTCAGTTTGCCGTCTCAGCAGTCCAACGGCTTTCTCCTTTGACAGCCGCGGCCTCCACCGATCACCACTGGGTGGAGGTGTAAGCCTCTCTATGGGCTCTCTGACTTTTTCATGACCAGAAATTCATTCCAGCTTTGAAGGAATTTGGGGTCTGAGCCCAGATTGAGCTCCCATTTCATGCCGGACGAAACGAGTTATGCGGCAATGTCATCTTTGTCCCTTTGATGGGACTTAGGTTTTCATTCTGGAAGCTTTTCGTGTTTGAATGAAAAAAAAACTCTTTTGCGTTGTAAATGTTGATTACTCATGTGGATCATTTAAAGTTTAAATATTGGAGGTGTCCTTCACTAAACTGGTCTATCATTAGGGGGTATGGCCAAGTTTTTTCCACTCATATGGAAGTTAAGGCCTCACCATTCACCGTCATCAGATTTGATTTTTCAATATTCAATATACTACTATACTATTCAATTCATGCTAACTGTATTTTAAAGGCAGGGGTAACTTTTGCTGCACGACTGCAACGTCTGAGGTTGGAAGCTCTGAGCTGTCGGTGAAAAGCAGCTCAGAGGTGGAACCCGATCAGAGCCTTGGTGTATATGGAAATGGCTCAGACTAATCTCTGGGAGAAGGCATGAAATGAAATGCAGTCGCTGCTGCGCGGCCTAAAGCTGGGAGTAACCCGATGGCTGGCTCCGGCACAGATGCCAGTGAGATTAGTTGTTTCTAAAATAACAACAAACTGGGGTTTTTGCTTGGGCAACAGCATATAATTAATACACCAATAGCCATGACATGCCACTGTGACCGCATCAAAACATGCAGTCAGGATTTCCATTAACTGTGTATTTAATGCTTGGTCTGGTTCCACTCTTTCCAAAATTGTACGTTTTACTGCGTTTCTTAAAGCATCCAGACTTGGTCTCAAGTGTCAGAGAAACTCTTCTACTCCTGATCTCAAAGATGCAGCGCAGTGAAAAAAAAGAAAAGGAAAATATTTCAGCTCTTTCACGTTTTAGGATCCGACCTTACTTCTGTTTGGCATTTGGAGAAATGCGGTGGAGCAGAAATGGAAGGATCAGATCAGAGCAGAGTCCCACCCTCCCGCCGTAAATTACTCAGAGCTGCTAACGGTTGATGTGGCTTCAGCCCCCACCCCCCCAACCCCCCCTCCACCACATAGACCAAGCCCCTCATCATGACTACACTCTGTTATTAGCATCCAGCAGATGAGTGGAGGGGGATAATTCTTTTTTTTTAAAGTTTTTTTTTTTTTTTTTTTAATCTTGAGCAGACTTTTTTTTCGCCCTCATGAGAGTTGATGCCATTTATGCACTTTGTGCTCTCAAACAGATCAGAGCTAATGATGTGAGGCAAAGAAATTAAGATTTGTTTGGCCCTCTGAGATACAGAGCAAGATGTTAAGCCTCCAACGTAGAGAGCGGATTTTTCTGGTTGCACATTAAGTATTTTGGGATTTTGTTTGCAGGTGGTGGAGAAAACCAACCCCACCGAGGCGGTGGGCGTGGTCTGCAAGGTGGACGGGCGTTACCAGGTGGTGGAGTACAGCGAGATCACCCTGGCGACGGCAGAGAGGCGCAGCGCCGACGGCCGGCTGATGTTCAACGCAGGAAACGTGGCCAATCACTTCTTCAGCTTCCCCTTCCTCAGGGACGTCGTGCAGTAAGCCCAGACGCTCTCCTGCCAGACAGTTTGAATCGCTCTCAGCAGTTGTCTCCTGGAACCAAGAAAACGACAAGGGCTGTGTTTGTTTATGTGCTAGGAAACACGAGCCCCAGCTGCAGCACCACGTGGCCCAGAAGAAGATCCCATATGTGAACGCTGAGGGTCAGCTGGTCAAACCAGACAAACCAAATGGGATTAAAATGGAAAAGTTTGTCTTTGACATCTTTCAGTTTGCTAAGTGAGTTTCATTCTGTTTCATTTTTTTTCTTCCTTTTTTTCCGTGTGTGTTTGTATGTATCTGTATGCGAGCATCAATGAGAGAAGCTCAACTGAAAGCTATAATCCTGTAAGGAACACGATAACAAACTTGTGCTCCATTAGGGAGTCGCTGCCCTTCCGGTTCTTTGGTTGACCTCCTGGTCTGGGCTTTGACTAGTCCTCCTTCTCTTCCTCCCTGCGAGGACCGTCCTGTTTTTTCCGTACTGACAGCCTATCCTCCAGCCTCAGCCGTGCCCTTCTCCCAGCCCTGGTCCTGCAGGCTGAGCCTGCCAAACGCTCCAGGAGAGGCTGGAGCTTTACGAGCTGCTCGCCCCGCTCCGGCTCCTTTGGTGTTGCATGACATCAGCTCTGAGTCACACCACTTCTAATAGAACTTTACATTTAACCAAAGGATTCCTGTGATGATTGACTGATAGAGAAAGCCTGCAGACACATCCGGCTTCCTTTGAGGATTTTACGCAGCGTTTGGGAATTATTATGGATGAGAAATGCTTTTGTCTTAGCTGGGAAGACCCATTCGAACCGCGCCTGGACAATTGCACTGACAGCTTTAGCAAAATCCAGATGTTTTGACTTGGTTTCCAGCAAGATTTGTGAGAAAATTCTGGTCTTTTTCATTGTTGTTGGGTCTAAACCTCTCTGGTGTGCAGCCGTTGTCACACTGCATACCCTTATGTTCTTTAGTGTCTTGAAACAGCACTATTTAGATATTTTTAGAAATATAACCAAAGGAGTCGTTCTTCTTCTTTTCATTTCCCCAGGAGCTTAAACTTTACTCGAAAGAGAACCCAAAACTGCATCTCTAAGGGGCTGAACCTCTGCTTGGGCCTGTAGCTGCGACCCACAGACCAAACAGTGTTTTCCAGATTACAGCCGGGGCCACCTTTTACCCCGGCCACATGTAAAGGAGACATCTCAATCAGGCAGAGAAAGCTGACGCCCTCCCTCCGTTTGTCCACCAGAACGTTCGCCGTGTACGAGGTGCTGCGAGAGGACGAGTTCTCCCCACTGAAGAACGCCGACACTCAGGAGGGGAAGGACACGCCCACCACGGCCAGACAGGCCCTCATGTCCCTGCACCACCGCTGGGTGCTGAACGCCGGCGGCCACTTCATCGACGAGAACGGGCGACGCGTCCCGGCCATTCCCAGGTTTTTCCTTTTCTTTTCTTTTTTTCCTCTAAACACAAACGCGGCTCTTCTCCCACCAGCTGTTTGCACAGGTGTCGCTGTGCTTTTTGTCCTAGACGTCATATTCTTTTTTGCCTCACTCTCTCACCCCCTCCCCCCCCCCCCCCCCCCCTGTCATGCTTGGCCTTGCTCCCGTGTGTCCCCCCCCCCACCCTTCACCCCCCCGTGCAATGTTTCCAGAGACGGAGCAGCCGGCCGTGTCTCAGATGGTGGCACCACAAAGTAACTATGCCCCTGCTGTACTGAGTGCATGCTGATGGGGCTTTGGCTTTTTTTTTTTCTTTTTTTTTCTCCTCGCCCTCCTACAGGAGCAGCCAGCCGGCTGTTTCTCTTTCTCTGTGCCGTCGGCTGCCATGCAGTGACTGAAATAAATAAAAAATCCCTTTTAAATTTTGGTCAGATAACGTGCTGTCATGGCGACCTGGCAGCAGGTCATTCCTCTTCTGACCGTCTCTCTCTCATACATGTGTGTGTGACCCGAAGGCCCACATGCATTGCATGCTGGGAAAAGGCAACCGCTGTTGATTTCTGTTCAACCTTCGCCGCCCAAAAGACGACGAACTGTTGAAATGCAAACGTCTGAGCATGCGCTTGACTAAACTTTGCCTCTCCGTTGACGTTTTCCGACTCTGAGAGGGAAAACTTGCTTTTAAATAATTGACCTTTTCCTTCAGCTACACAACTGAAACTCCATGTGTGTGATTATTATCTTTACTGTTATCTAGAGGTAAACGTTCTGAGTGATGATAATGCTGTCTGACGCCCCCCAGCTCGTGAGAGGCTCTCTGCGGAGCTGCAGGCACATTACCCGTCACTTGTGCGTTTCCTTCCCGAGGCGATCCGTTACAGGGTAGAGGACTAATCACTGGTTGCGACGAGGCTCTGACTCTCCGCCTTTGATCTCTAATCACAAGCTGCAGAGGCAGAACAGCTGTGTCAGGGATGCACAGCTGCTTCTCTCGGCTACTTTCCTTCTGCCTCTTTCACCGGACAGCCACTCATTCTTTTTCTTTTTTTTTAACCCCTCTGATCTTGTCTCAATCCTTCCCAACACAGTCTGAAGGACGGAACAGACCTGCCAATCAAGTGTGAGATCTCCCCGCTGGTGTCCTATGGGGGGGAGGTAAGGCCTACGGTAGAATAGCTTTTCCAGGTGCTTCTCCGCTGAGCCGTCAGCGTCCTGACCATGATCTGTGGGGTTTTTCCCTCTCTTTTCTTTTAAGGGTCTGGAGGAGTTGGTTAAAGGACGCGATTTCCATCCAACTCTGACCATCGACGAGCACGGAGTCCACGAGCTGGTGAAGAACGGAGTTTAACCCAAGAAAGACCGACAACCCTCCCCATGTTCTCTGCATTTGAAGGAAAAAAAAAATACTGTGACATCACCGCCGTGCAGTTTAAAGTGTCACACGCATGAGTCCATGAAAACGAATGTAAGGGCGAGATGAAGTGTGCTGTAACCATTTAGCACCAACTGTTCTTTGGTCTGTATGTTGATGTCATAGTTGTTTCACATTTGTTTTAAAGAGCACTCAAACTAAAGATGCAGCATGAAGTTCCTGCTGGGATGACCGGATGATGCGGTCTGCAGCTGCTTGTATTTATTTTGCTTATGAGAATTATTTTTATATGGTAGATGATAGGGGATAGATGCTTTAGGTGGAATTCACCACCTACTCATTTTACCTGGTGATTTTTTTTTTTTATACAAGATTTGACTGAGATTAAATGATCGGAGCATGTAATCAAAATACATGCATTGGGCTGGGGGGGGGGGGGGGTATTTATAATACATGCTTCTTTCCTGCTTGTAATCACTGAAGGTTGGATATTTATCTGTAAGAGATATGATTTTTCTCATCTTTACTAAAAAATGCTCCTGCTGAAAAACAAACTATGGTGTGTGTTTCATTTCTTAATCAGGACATTACTTTTTTCCAAATGCAAAATGAGAAAAGATGTGAGTGTTAGTGGCCACTTCTGCTATATCATTTGTTTGAATTATGGTGTTTTCCTTTACTCATTAACATGCATCGTCCAAAAACAGTTTTCACAAGTGATTAAATGAAGTAACTGTTAATCAAATACAGAACCGAACCGGTGATTAGATCATCCAGAGCTCAGCGAGGTGACGGCCACGACTGACTGAGGTCAAATGTACAGTAGAATAATTTATCAAAAGTTGTAAATCTGATTATACAGACTTGGATTAATGGACAATTCTGATACAATAAATCACAAACTGAAACTGTAATTAAACATAAATCTGTTTGCTGAAGTTAGCAAACTATAAAAAGAGAATAATTCACATCATAACCAAATTGTTATTGAGGCAAACCACATCCTATTTTAAATGGATAATTGTTTTAATATATGGAACACAAACAGCAAAACATTGTACCGTACAGGAGATTTTTGTGATGTTCTGGTCAAACTATCCAAACGCAAACAGACACCAAAACACAAGCCCCCCCTTCCACCACACACACCCACACACACACAACCACCCCCCATCCCATCAACTAATTCATACTGTTGGAGGCAGCTGGTGAAAAAATCTCCACAAACGCGTGGGCCTCCCTGGTGTCCTCAGAGGCTTCAGGAAACAGCCATAATATGCAGAGCATAACGTCACTGGGAGACGACTTTGCTCTGAAACCCGGCTCACACACACACACACTTTTCCTGGATCTGGTGTGAGCACTGAGGCTGTGATGTGTGAGTGGGTCCGGTAACAGCACAGACCTTCATACATCGCTCGAAAAGTTTTCGAATGGAAGAAAAAGCAGGGTGTATCGTAACGGCCTTTTTCAAAAAAGCAGAGGCAGTGGACACTCAGACTTCCACACATCTGTGGTTTAATGACAGGGACGACTCCTCGGGAGATCAGTGCAAACTTCAGCTCCAACTAAAGTTGCCTCAACTGTCAAAAGAAAGGCTCTTTTCAGCTGGAAGCGAGTTTTGTGATTGAGTGCATGGATTTGACATTAATTGAAACCGTATGTGTGGCATGTGGAATTCTGGGACTTTGGCACGCTTCCAAGAATCCACAGAATGTGAGGCTTTTTTTTTTTCTTCCTAACCCTCTCTCTCTCTCCTCTGCCTCTCTTTTTCCAGTGTGCAGGGGCGTCTTACATCAGCCCAGAGAGTCCCAGTAAAGGCAGCTGACGGCCGGAGAGAGGGAGCAGGAGAAAGAGCGGAGCGCTGGGATTTTGACATCCAGCCGCCAGACCCTCACTGGAAGTATCTAAAACCATCTGTGAACAAATGGTCTAAAAGGAAAAAGAAAACATCTCAGAAGTAAGTTGTGTTTTGTTGCCTTTAAGTTTGGACACTTTATTTTCCTCTTGCTGTGAATGGCTAAACCAATCTGACTCTCAGCAGCTTTCTCAAGCCCGAGAGAGAAACTAAAAGTTTACTTCGTGCACTTGGTTTGGGAGCTATTTGTGTGCATTTGAACTCTGTGTACCTTCTGAGTTAAGAATCTGCTTTTCGTATGGCGGACGGCCAGAGTGGACAGAGCAAAGCCGTGTCCGATTGGAACCCTGGCTCCTCGGCTGCAGATGCAGATGTTTTCTCCTGAAGCTGTTTGCTCTGGCTGTCACACATACCAATTAAGGGTCATTCCCAGTCTTCGGCTACTTATCTCTCTAAAAAATATCACAGATTGAAACCTTTTTCCCGTGGACACTTTTCTCAGCTGGCTAATCAAAATCAAATCCTGCGAATGCTATGAATGAGTTCCAATCCAAAGCTTCAAATAGCAAACCGCTCACAGTGCAAAACAATGAGAGAATTCTGGGATTTGTCAGAGCAAAAGAAGACAAATTAACATGAAAACTGGGAAAGATGACGTTTGGCTGCGTCGCAGCAAGCTTGCACAATTTTGTTTGCCATATTTCCAGAAAATGGTATCAAACACTGGAGTTCTCTGGGCACATGTCCTGCTTTTGTGTCAGTGTGTGTGTGTGTGATCGGTGCTGTTATGTAGGTGTTACGTCCAGTTGGTATGTAGATATTCTCCTGTGGTATGCGGCTGAAAGGGGTCCACACAGAGGGCTCTTTCCTGCCGGGGTGAAGTGTCAAAGATACGCATGAGCTCGCCGCTTTAACGTTTGAACCCAAACGACCCGACCAGCCAACAGGAGAGACAGCTCTGATCAATGGATGCGTTGTTACAGGAAGTTAAAAGCTGATCCTGGGTTCTCTTGCTGGCCTACAATTGATGTTTCCAGGAACAAAAAGGCCTCAATACGATGCACACATCAGGGCAACGTTTTGTGAAGCATGTTGAAAAAACTCCCAAACATTCTAGATTCATTGGTTGTGTTTTTTTCTGAGTAAATTGAGGTAATTTCTTAGCCTGATGCATCAGATGATTCCTTACACAGAATCAGGTGCAAGTTCAGGCCCCATGAAAAAAAATATGAAACTTGTGGATGAATCATCATGATTTTTCAAAAGGTGGAATAGTAGAGTTGATAATTGCTTTTCATTCCTCTTTGGTAAAAAAAATAATAATTAAAAAAAATAAAAAACCGACATAAATTGAAATTCAGATTTCAGGTCCCAAGCCAGTCTGGTGCTTCCTGATTGGCCAGTGTCCTGTGGGGAGACAAGATGAATATCAGGCAGATAAATGAAACCTACAGGCAGCCATGTTCCTTTCTGTTTTTTTTCTTCTTTCTTCTTTGCCCATAATCCAACAATGAAAACGTTTCAGATTTTAGCCTCCCACTAAAATAGATCTTTTAAAAACGAATTAAATAGGCAGAATAATTCCAGTTTTTTTCATCCCAGTAAAAGGAAAAGGAAATGTTCCATCTGCACTAACAGTCATTTTCCAGTCAGTGGATCAGTGTCCAAACACGTGACTGGCGGGGTGTATTATTATCATTGATATTTATCTCTATGAGTACAAGAGTCCAAACTGTAAACGCATTTTTTGTGATATGTGTGTACTGGGTTTTGACATGAAGGCTCACATTAATATAGCAACGTTTTCGAGGTAATAGGAAGATTCTCGACACATCACAAGAATGCAATGCAGAGCCCCACGACACGGCGAGGTCTCCATCTACTCTGATGGCCAACTTCCACAAGGATCATAAAAATGTCTGTGTTTATTTTTTCGCGCAGCTCGGAACAAAGAAGTAATAGAAGAGCACGAGGACAAAGAAACCCGTGCAGAACAAAAAGTGGAATTTCAGAAAGTGACCACAAACTGGAACACACTGATTTCTACAAACTTAAGATTTACAGCCCTGTTAGAGCATGTGGGTGTGGGTTTTTTCCTCTTTGTTGTCCCCTTTGTGGGACGGATGCATGCATTGGAAAGAGGATTAAATGGGGTAAAAGACATTACTGTCGAAGTGGAACGGAGGAGTTCTTATGAAAGAGATATAAATGAGACACTAACAGTTTATTTCAAACACAGAAGAGCATTCATACCTCGAAGGCCAAAAGACACATTCACATGCTCAGATTGAACTGAGAGTAACAACATTAGCAGAGCGTTATCACTGCGTCTGACTGAGACATGCCGTTTCAATTAGCAACCCCCCCCTCCTCCGCAGTTCGGAGGCTGACTGACATCCTCACATACAGACCCCGATCACACACCACAGCAAAGGCTGTAATTTCAGCCCCACTTTCAGAACGCTGCACCAGAGGCACCCGGGGCTCGCTCAGCCCGGCTGTAACCTGATACCGATGTCAGATTGAAAGTGTTTTCAAATCAATGTTACCGGCAGGAGAAAAAAACCAGCACCAGGGCCGTGCTGTAATTTGCCATAAATAGTGCCATTTCAGGAAACGTAAGCCCAAAAATACCTAGCTGTCGACTCTGCCTCCCACGGTTGATTGAACTCCGACCCTGCCCTCGCCGGCCGCCCGCTCATCACCCATGTCTGAGAGGGGTACAGTTACAGGCAGCCTGAGGACGTCTGCTTTTGTTATTTCTGGTTTGAATTACTTGTCTTGCTCTGCTCTGACTTGGAGTTTATTTTTTTTCAAAAGAAACACAAGGTGATTTAGCTCTGCTCACAGAGGAACATGGCAGACGTTTAATTTCTCCTGGAATCCTTTCAATCATAAACGGGAATTGGCCGAAGCTTGTTTTGAGTATTCTTCAGCACGGATTCGCATCGTGGACACAGAACAATGACAAAATCCGAATGGTTTTAAAGGAGCCATGGCGCAGATGCTCATTAAGGGACAGTAGTGAGTAACTGAATCCTCCTCTCTGTTTGGACGTGTGGCCTTTGTGTTTCGCTCCCCTGTCATTCTGCCTCTCCTGTTTAGACGTGGCAGTCTCCTTTTGTTTGTCTCAGGCTCATTATCTGTCCTTCCTCTCTCATTACAGCCTATCAAAGATGATCTGAGCTCAAAGTTCAACATAAAAAAGGACAAAAAAAACTAGGCCATCAGACTATGAAGACTAAAAGACTCTAAACAAACAAACAGCTTTGGTAATGAGACCTATGTTGACCCCTCTGGTTTTACCTTATAGGCCTAAACTTAGCTGCCTTTCAGGGGAAGTCTCAGTCTCATAGGTGGAAAAATCTGATGTGTAGGATACTCTGGCTTGGGTTGGTGCTGCAGTTTGTCAAGTTTGTCCAGCTGCACACAGACAGAACTAGTAACAGACAAAGATGTGCTTTGTGCAGAGAGGGAATGTAAAAATTTAAGAACGATGAAGACTGTTCTGATCTGCAATGGTTGACTCTCAGATGTTAGAATAATGTCAGATTGTAGATAATGATATAAACTCATGGAAGCATAGCTCAGGTCTGTTATCTACTTTCATGTTCATTTGCTATTTTAGTGCCATTTTGAACGACTCCTATCCATTTATTCTTACATGAACCAGAAGACTAAAAAGGTCAAAATGTAGTAAAACTCATAAATTAGGTTTTCAAAAGAGAAACGTCACAAATCACTGACAAATTAAGAAGCTGCAAAAATCAT